CTTGCTTGAACATGAGCAGGTACTAGAAGAAATAAAAAAATGAAACTAAAAAGGTTCTTGAAACAAATGAGAATGAAAACACCACTTACCCAAACCTCTGGAAAACAGACAAAGCAGTAATCAAAGGTCAATTTATAGCAAAAAGTAAACATACCAAAACACAGGAAAAAGTGATCATTGACTTTCTAACCCAGCAGATCCAACAAATTGAAAAAGAATAGCAAGAAAACCTGACACCCTCTAAAAAACCTGAAATTATAAAAATTAGAGCAGAAATAAATGAAATAGAAAACAGAAAAACCAATTGAAACCACCAACAAAACTAGGAGTTGGTTTTTTTAAAAGATCAATAAAATTGACAAACTACTAGCAAAACTAACAAAGGAAAGGCAGGAAAAGACACAAATAATCCGAGTAAGAGATGAAATGGGCAATGTCACAATAGAACCAACTAAAATAAAAAGGCTAACATTGGAATATTATAAAAAATTATACTCTAATAAATATGAAAACCTAGATGAGGTGGATTGATTCAGTGACTGGGGTAATCGGGATGGGTGTGTCAGAGGCAATGCAATTGGCACAGGATAGAGCAGGGTGTAGGGCTGTTGTACACAGGGTCACTATGAGTCGCAAACGACTCGATGGCACATAACACCAACAACAGAGGAAATGGACAAATACTTAGAAATTCATAACCTACATAAACTGACACAAACTGAAAAACTGAACAGCTGAACAGACAAAAGAAGAAACTGAAAAGGTAATAAAAGAAACTTCCAGCCAAAAAAAATTCTGGATCAGATGGTTTTACAAGGGAATTTTATCAAACATTCAGAGAAGATTTGTCACCAACGCTACATAAACTATTTCAGAATACAGAAAAAGATGGAATTCTCCCAGACTCATTCTATGAAGCAAATATATTCTTGATACCAAAGCCAGGTAAAGACCCCACCAAAATAGAAGACTATAGGCTAATATTTCTCATGAACACAGATGCAAAAATCCTGAATAAAATTCTTGGTCAATAGAATCCAACAATACTTTAAAAAAAAAAAATTCATCATGACCAAGTGGGATTCATAACAGGTTTGCAAGGATGGTTCAACGTAAGAAAAACAATCAAAGTAATTCATCACACTAACAAAGCAAAGAACAAGAATCACATGATCCTATCAACTGATGCAGAAAAGGCCTTTGACAAAATCCAACACCCTTTCCTAATTAAAACACTGAACAAAATAAGATTAGAGGGGGATTTCTTCAACATAGTAAAAAGGAAATATGCAAACCCGAGCCAACATTGTTCTCAATGGAAAGAGATTAAAGGCATTCCCCTTGAGAACAGGAACTAGGCAAGGATGCCCACTAACACCTCTCCTATTCAATAATGTATTGGAAGTCTTAGTGATATTAAGATAAGACAAGGAAATAAGAGGTATCCAAATTGGCAAAAAGGAGGTGAAATTATCTCTGTATGGAGATGATATGATAGTATACTTAGAAAACCCTAACGACGCAGCAAGAAAACTACAGGACATAGTTGACCAATCAGGATACAAGATCAACATAAAAAAAAAAAATCAACTGGATTTCTCTACAGTGACAAACAGAATACAGAAGTGGAGCTAAGAAAAACAATACCCTTCACAATAGCTAATCACAAGATTAAATCCTTGGGAGTAAATCTAACCAGAAGCACAAAGAATCTATTCAAAGAAAATTACAAAACATTACTACAAGAAACAAAAAAATACCTGAGGAAGTGGAAGAATATCCCTTGTTTATGGATAGGAAGACTGAATATAGTGAAAATGACAATATTACCAAAGACAATTTACATATTCAATGCAATCCCAATACAAGTACCAATTCCATTCTTCAACAAGATGGAAAAAGCTATCTCCAATTTCATTTGGAATGGAAAGAGGCCCCAAATAAGCAAAGCACTCCTTAAAAAGAGAAACAAGGTAGGAAGCATCTCACTCCCTGATTTCAAATTCTATTACACTGCCATGGTGGTCAAGACAGCATGGTACTGGTACAGTGACAGACACATAGATCAATGGGATAGAATTGAGAATTCATAAATCAACCCATCTACCTATGGTCAACTGATTTTTGACAAGGAGATGAAATCAGTTAAGTGGGGAAACGACAGACTTTTTTAACAAATGGTGCTGGCAAAATTGGAAAATTATCTGTAGAAAACTCAAGCAAGATCCACACCTCACTTCATACACAAAAACGAACTCAAAGTGGATCATGGACCTAGGCCTAAAACCAAGGACAAAAACTTCATTAAAGAAAAGCTTGAAAAACTCTAGAAGCCCTAATCCACAATATAAACAGTCTTCTAAGCATCTTGAAAAATCTACAACCAAGATAAAATAGATGAATGGAACCTGCTAAAAATCAAATCCCTATGCACATCCACAAACTTCTCCAACACAGTAAAAAGGGAGGCAAGAGACTGGGAAAAAATATTTGGTATGACATGTCAGATAAGGGACTTATCTATATTATATAAATTCATCTAGAATTTATATAATACTCGAACACCACAAGATAAAGGTAAATAACCTAATTGGAAAAATGGACACAGGATATGAACAGACACTTCACCAAAGAAGACATTCAGATGGCCAACAAACACATGAAGAAACATTCAAAATCCCTAGCTCTAAGAGAGATGCAAATCAAAACAACTATGAGATATTATCTCACCCCAGGAAGAATAGTAAAATTTAACAGAACAGCAAACAACAAATGCTGGAGAAGATGCAGAGAAACTGGAACCCTTACTCACAGCTGGTGGGAGTGTAAAATGATGCAACCACTATGGAAAGCTGTGTATGATGCTTTCTCAGAAAGTTGCAAATAGAACTATCATTTGACCCAACAATTCCACTACTGGGAAGATACCCTAAAGAGACCATAACCGCCACCCAAGCAGATATATGCACACCCACGTTTATTGTGGCTTTGTTCACAACAGCAAAGAGCTGGAAACAACCCAAGTGCCCAACAACAAATGAATGGATAGAGAAGCTGTGGTGTATTCACACAATGGAATACTATGCTGCATTAAAAAAACAAGGAACTCATGAAATAGTATACAAAGTGGGTGACCTTGGAGGACATTATTCTGAGTGAAATATCTCAGTTACAAAAGGATAAATACTGCATGGTGCCACTGTTGTAAAACAGGACTGACATCGGGTTTGGGGGGAGACTGAGAAAGAGGAGATAAATAATGTACACTCCATTGAAACAGATGAAGGAGAGAACTGTTTAAAAAAGGATATATGACTAAGTATTACTGTCATGACAGGAATCCAGAATGAAGGCTGCATAGTGGAGTGGACTTGGGAGGGACTATATAACAATGAAAGACTTTTTCTTTTACTTTTCAAAAAGAAGAGCGAATTGGGGGGGAGGGGTAGGCAGGGAGAAAAGTGCAACAATGAATGAAAGGAAATCCAAAGTCTGTAAACTTCCATTAAAATTTAAATAAATAAATAAAGTAGGCCAGCCACCCAGCTCTGTCTTTCTAGCTTGTCTAGGCCTAAAATCTCCACTGAAACCTGTCCAAATTACAGAAACTTCCAAGTCTTCACTGACAGACTGCTGGTCTACAGAAAGGCTACACTGGGTAGGAACTAAAGAAAGGTTTCCACAAGGGAGGAGACAGAGATTCTACCACTGAGCCATTCCAGTCACCAAAAAGACTTACAGGGTTCTGCACATAATAAAGATCAGACATTAACACATAGCACATCTTTAAACACCTAAAGGCAAATAAAATACTTGGGATCATTCAAAAACGCAAGTGCTACAATTAGTAACATTCTCAATACTCTTATTTTAAAATTACATAGTTAGTTGGCTGAATAGAAATCTTGACATAACTACTACCCATAATTTTTTATACAATAATATTTTAAATTATTAATAAACAAAGAATGAGAAAACTTAAGTCATTGTTAAGGAAAACTTCTGAAAATAGATGGTGGTGATTTTTAAAAAGTTCTAGAACTCAGACTACTAGGAGCTGATTTTCCATTAGGTTTCTGAGGCTGTTAATCACATAGAATTTGCCAATCTTTTTCTCTTGGAGCCACTGGTGGATTTAACTGCCAGAAGTGTTGTCTTTGGATTAGCAGTGCAACTCCCTACAAAGTACGGCACCAGTCTTGATATTGTTAAGTGTTATTGAGTAAGAATCACCTGATAACCGACCCACCAATGGGTTTCAAACTGTAGTAAACTGTACAAGAGATCACCCATCTTTCTCCCGTGGTGCAGCTGATGGATTCAAACCACATGCCTTTGTGTTGGCAGTACAACCACTCGACAGCTCCCTGTAATCCTGACAGTGTGTGTGTGTGTGTGTGTGTGTGTGTGTGTGTGTAATTAACACAAGTTATCAACCTGTATATTTAACAGCTGTAAATTTTTACTGTGTTAATTATACCTTAACAAAAATTAAGGCGTATAGAGCTAATTATGGAAGAAAAATAAGAATCAAAGAAGTATCAAATATATTCGACTATCTACCTATTATGCAATTAATAAAAACGGAAAGAAAAGTTATTCTTCTTCTAGGACAAAAAGAAACTGACATTAGCTGGTGGAAAAATCTTCGTCCTAAAAACGACAAAACATGAAGCATACATTTGCTCAGAAAGCAGGAGGCTAGGAAATGATGAATGAACTAGGAGAGGGAGGAAGTGGGAAGAACACTGTTAGAACTGGTGGGATATGATCAATGAATTGTTTAGTGGAAAACCAATTTGCCCTTTAAACTTTCACTCATAATAAAAAACACTGTGAGCTTCTTTCTTCAAACATTCTTTTTTACAATCTTATAAACTGTATTTTACAGATACACTGTATTTACAAAGCAAATAAAGACAGTAAACTCACAAGGTAATTAAAACAAACCCAAAATTCTTTATTTACAACTACTCAAGAGAAAAACATAGTTCTCTTACCTCCTCCTCATCATCAGAATCATTCCCAAACACTGATGGCTTTTGCAAAACAGGTTGCAACTGCTGTGTTTTCTTTGGCAAAATAAGCCCATACCTGTATTTTTTGTTTTTTGAAATAAAAATCACATCATTATCTTCAAATGTTAAAAAATAGTAACACATTTACTATCTCTTCCAGATGATGACACTACCAAGTGAAGAAAAGTCATGGCCTATAAACACTTTAACAGATTGTTTCTGATCTTCAATGATCTCAACACTACAGGAAGCCTAATTACTATTGTAATTATTGATCTTGATTTGTGGACATGGGTTTAACTCAATCACCATCTTTATCTAGGGAGGCAAGGGACTGAAAAGTCATTTTAAACAGTGATGTGATTCGTGAAGCAAAAGTAACTTGTCCTCAGGTTATAGGTTAGCGGAAAGCTCAGTTTGTGTACACTGAAAAGAAAACCAATGTATATTAACCTTGATGTCTGATAAAAGTCAAGAAAGTAGCTAGATCTTTTTCTACTAGGTACTTTTATTTCAAGATAATGAAACCAATATGAAGTCAATGGGGAACCCATCATAACACTGTTTCACAAATACATTAACTTTTTAAAAGTTGACATTAACTGAAAAGTCTGAGGCTAAGCTCCCATCACACTTTAAAGCTCCCTTGCTTTGTCTTGAAGCATCTGAAAGACTCATCCCACTAAGAGCCAACTCATTTGGTTAGTTGTGTTTTGGCCTTGAACATTCAGGTATCACGGGAAGCCGCATCCGAAGAATCCCCATCAAACAGAAAGCCTCCACATAGATACGTATGTGTCTCTTGTGGCCACGTACAGCCCAGCCCACTAAATGCCTACTCTCTTCTGCGGCTTCTCTGCACATTTCTAAACCGAGGAGGGAGGGAAGGAATCGGGATTTGCGCTTCTGCCAAGGAGAACATGGCCTTTTAAGGAAGCCAGCAGTGCAGTGTCTCTCTTCTCACTGCTCCTAAGAGCATCCAACCGGGGAGAAACTCAAGCGCGGGGTAGCAAGCAAGACTGAGGGGCCTCAGACCGAGCTTTTGGAAAATAGAAAAGTCTCGCTCTCTGCCCCTCAGCCTAACTTCCTTTATTTCCTCACAAGTTTCTCCCTCAAACTTCGGACTTCCAACCTGAAAAATGTATGGGGGAGGGGAATAGGTGTTTCTCAGGAATCCTTGGCTTTCCCCGCCTCTAACCCTGACGACACAGCCCCTCCACTTCCAGTGCACTTTTCCTCCTCGGCCCCTGACACAGTCGCCGCCGATCCTCGATCCCCAGCCTGACCCTAACTACCAGATCACTCACTGCCTGCCCGGAATCGCCATCTTGCTCTGGTCTCCGCTGAACGTGGCCGACGCCGACGTAAAGCCGACGCAAGCACTGACGTCGTCACGTAAACTCTCGCGCGGCTCTGGTTGGCCTGGAGCTGGCTCCGCGTTTGGGTCGGTTTTGTGACTCATCTCCGAGCTTCCGGAAGTTGAGTTTTTCGCCGTTTGCTTTTGTTTCGTCACCGTCCAACTACCTTAAGTAGAGGGAGAAAGTAATAATAAAATAATACTGGGCCCAGCGAGCTGCATCAACATTACTAAGAAATGCAAATCCTGCGGCCTTCCCCCAAATCTGCTAGATCTGCAACTTTCGGGTGAATTTGATGCTCTCTCAAGTCTGAAAGCTACCAACCACCCTTGGCCATTGAAAGCATAGTCCTTAGCGAATTGCGCTGCTAAACTAAAACCCGCAAATCTTCGGTTCAAGTCCACCAGAGAATTTGTGGGACAAAGATGGGCACTCTCTACCCTAAGATTTAACGGCTTCACTATGACAATGAGAGAAAGTGAGGCTGGTGAATGAGCTTTTGCTCCTGTTAATGCTGGTTCTGGGTAACTTGATAACAAAAGCGTGCAAAAGCTGAAACCTATGTAAGCCGTGGTTACCGGTTATTTTTCCATTAATACAGAGCAGAAAAAATTCTATTGAGCTCAGCTCCCACCGGTTTTTCAGTGTATGCTAATAGTGATAATATTGTGTATGATATGAAATCTCAGATTCATTTCCTTAGAATGGGAGCTGCTCAGAGCTGACGCTGATTCTCCAGCGAGTTTTGAGGAGTTTTTGAAGCTGTAAATCGCATGAGAGGGAGATGACCCATCTTTAGAATCAGCCTGCAGAGTGGCTGGTGGATTCGAACGGGCCTTTAGTTAGCAGCACAACTCCATACAGACTACCCATCAGAACTATGCCATAGTATAAAGATCAAAACCAAACGTCTTTTCCAACTTACAATTTTACCGCAAAGCCGTGGTTCTGCCGCCAGCCTCCAGGCAAAAGAAAAAACACGTTTTGAAGACAAGGATTGGAATGGGAAAAGAAAGTTTTCCGTTATACTGGTGTAACCTCCTGAATCTGTCTCTCCGTCTTAGAGATTGCAGGGGCTTATGTAGAAGAGGAGCAGAGCAGTGGAATGTGAAAAATTTACACTGTGTCCTTTTTTTTTGTTCTGAGGCTCTTCCATCAGTGTCATGGCCTAAGCTAGTTGGTCAGGTCTTATCAGTATTCTGGAGACAGTTGGTGCTATTCTCATGTTGGGGTATAAGGGGAGTAACTCCCAGATATAGATTATAGGATCGAATGGGAAAGGACAACAAAGGAGCTTTAGTCTGATGGCCCTGCTAGCTAGATTCAGAGAAAGTTTTGTTTTCTTTTTTTTAAAAAAAGTTACTTTTACATTGGTTTTGGCCTGTTATTGTATCCATTAGTTTTTTGCCTGAGATAAGGTGCTAGTTTTCCATTTCTTTATTGTCAGTTGCAGTGGTGACCACCCTGGGCACAAAAGAACAGGACCTGCCTGCATCCTGCATGAGGATCCTTTTATGTACTTTTCCAGGGACTAATCCTTCCTGTCCTTTCTCATACATACATACACTTATTTTCCCACACACACACATATATTGTTATGTATTTAACCACATAAAATGTATGATTCACTAGCGAATAAATTTCTGATGAAAATACTGTTTCTACTAGTACCAATATTGTACCACCTTCCTGAACACCTGAAAACATTAACAATTTTACTTAGTGACCAACATTAGACATCAAATCTGATCCCTAAATTGAAGGTCTGCAACTCTTAAGAGAACACAGAAAGTAGGTGATTCTTTTTGACCTTTCGGTAAAACAATCTGAGAAAAGATCCAAAAAGTGCAACTATCAATTTCTTCCCTTACCCAAGGAGGTAATGATAACAAGAGAAGAGTGAGCTGTGACACCTCTTCCTACAGACAGTAGGGAGTGGCAGTCAATATGGCTTACAGTCTGAATAAAACAGGAAGACCCAACAGAACTGCTCCTTATTCTCCTCTGGCCCTCTCTTCCTTAATTCTAACAGTGTCTTAAGGTGAGGAAAATGGGATTAAAATAAAAAATTAATCACCAAGGAAAATCCAGTTTTGCCTTCAAAGCTGAAGATCTCCAAATGCCATAAGAGCTGCCCATGGTGGACAGTGTTTGGTGGAGCTCCCAGTTTAAGGCAGGTTTGGAAGCAGGAGTGCATCCACTTCCTAAAACACATTCCTCTGGAAACTCTATAAACTTGGAGAAATGATGATAGTTATATAAAGGCTTCAGGCCTTTTATTCATAGGGTCACTATGAGTTATGCTCGACTTAATGGCAATCAACAACAACAATCCCTCCTGATTATATGCAAAACCATATATAGTATTTTTTTTTCCTGGTCACATCCCACTCACTAATTCATGACCCCATTCCAAATTAATTTTATTGAAGCCAAAATTAGCTCTTCAATTACTTAGAGAAATGTTAAAATCCCCAACTCTGGTTTCATCTGTTTTTTTCCTATAACTGTCAGTTTTTGTCACATTTATTCTAAAGCTCTGTTACCAGGTACCTAAACGATTCTTATGCCCTCTTGCCCTTTATTACTTAAGAAATGAGCCTCTTTATTCCTTTATTCTTCTCTTTCATCTGACAATAATAAATCAGTTTTCTTTTGATTAATGTTAGGTGTTTCTTTTTCCTTCCTTTTACCTATTTTCAAGTAGCTGTATCTTGGTATTTCATTTCTTGTTAGATCATAGTCGGGTTTTGTTCTTATCCAATGTAGCAGTTTCTTAATTGGAGTGCTGAGACCATTTTCATTTAATGGGATTATTGGTATGGTCACTATTTATTTCCTCTTTGTCCCTTTTTGTGTGGTTTCTTTTTGATTAATTTTTTAAAATACTCTTTTTTTTGTTTTACTAGTTAGCCCTCTCTCTTTGAAGGTATTGTTTATGGCTTTATTTTTTAAAGCATGGAATATGTTAATTAATAATAACCTTGTTAACTTATCACAGCCCAGTTTTTATTAAGAATATACGACTTCATGTATCTGGTGGCTTAGTGGTAAGAAGCGGATATACCAGCCCCAAGGCACACTGTTCAAATCCACCAGCTGCTCCTTGGGAGAAAAATTAGCAGTCTCCTCTTGTGATACTTACAGCCTATAAAAACCTGCTGTAGGGTTGGCTATGAGTCAGTTCTGACTCAACAGTACAGAACAGCATATACGATATAAGAACCTTAACAAAAGAACGCTTCTATTTCCTCACCTAGATTTTGAATTAACATTGTTACACATTTTGTTTTTACCTATTATTGTTTTAAACAATGATCTTTTAAACTTTTTGGGGATGAAAATGTCATATTTATCCACATAATAATCATTTCGGGGATCTTAATTTCCTTGTGTTAGACCCAGTTTGCTGCGGAGGGTCGAGGACTGCAGCCTTCAATATGGATTGAGGCTCAATGTCAAGAAGACAAAGATTCTCACCACTGAACCAATTGGCAGCATCAGGATGGATGGTGAAGAGATTGAGATTGTTCACAGCTTTGGTTTGCTTAGCTCCACAGTCAACACTCTTAGCACCAGCAGCCAGGAAATTTAAAGATGTATTATGATGCAAAAGTCTGTTGTTAGGAACGTCTCCAAAGTACTGAAGAGCAATGGTGGCACTCTGGAGACTAAGGTGCACCTGATACAGGCCATGGTCTTTGCAATCACTTGTTATGTGTCTGAGAGTTGGACAATGACTAGGGAGGATAGAAGGAGAATTGATACCTTTGAGTTTTGGTGCTGGAGAAGAGTATTGAGGGTACCATGGACTGCTAAGAAAACAAACAGATTCATCCTAGAGAGGGTTAAACTGGGCTGCCCCTTGGAGGCAAGGATTCTGAGGCTTCATCTGACATACTTTGGACATGTTGTGAGAAGGGACTGGTCCTTGGAGAGGGACATCATGCTTGGTAGGGTGGAGGGACAGCGTAGAAGGGGAAGGCCCTCTATGAGGTGGATTGATTCAGTGACTGGGGTAATCGGGATGGGTGTATATCAGAAACAGTGTGATTAGCACAGGAAAGAGCAGAGTTTAGGGCTGTTGTACATAGTGTCGCTATGAGTCACAAGTGACTTGATGGCACATAATAACAACAATCCTCTTTTTTGTGTAACAGTTTGGTTTTTTTTTCTTTTTCTAAATTTTTTTTTATTATTTTGTGTGTGTGTGTCTGTGTACTGTCAAATCGGATCTGACTGGTACAGGAGGAGATTGCCCCTCCTTCTCCAGCAGAGCATCTGGTGGATTCAAACCACGCACCTCTGGGGTTGCAGTGCAGCTTCTTGTCACTAGGCCACCAGAGCTCCCTTGTGTAACAATTTTATTAATATGTTATTCACATACCATAAATATTTTAATTCACTTGTTTATACCATGCTATGATTTTGGTTACATTCAGAGAGCTATGAAACTGTCATAACAATAAATTTTAGACACTTTTAACACTTTACAATGAAACCACCTACTCATCAGTCTCTTATTATCTCCCTTTCAAGTCCCCCAATGCTGGGTAACCATTAATCTACTTTCTGTCCCTATGGATTTACTGTTGTCAGTTTTGCTTTGAGTATTTAGAAGCTACATTGTTAGGGGCACAAAAATTTCCGGATTCCCTTCTGCGGTGCAGTGACGGTCTGGAGGTGACATAAGGACGTCAGCTTGTCAGCTAAGTTTAAGGAACGCAGTGAGTGGTTCCTTGCGGAACGCCATGGGGCCAGTGGTACCAAACCCTGGAGGAAGTGTTCATTGAAGTTCAAGTGCCACCAGGCACTCACGCCCAGGATATCCAGTGCGGTATCCAGAGTCACCATGTGTCACTAGCTGCTAAATCTTCAAGGACAAACTTTTTGATTGTACAATACCTGATGAGGGAACTTGGACAGTGGAGGACAGAAAAATGGTCCGTATTGTTCTTACAAAGATAAA